CCCCCCCCCTGTACGGACAGATATGTTGTTTGACCCTTTTGGTTTTTGTGACTTTGGATGCAGTTAAAAGAGTGTTTTGTGTTTGAAAGTTGGAGACCTTTTTTTTAATTTCTTTTGGGAAAATAAAAGAATTTTTAGGAAATTACTGATTAGTGTTTTTTGGTATGGAATGGTAGATGGGTGTTTTATATTTATACATATGTATTTGTTTTTTCTTTTATACATGTAAATGCGCATGCATGTGTTCAAATGGGCTGTGGGAGATAAAGAGGAATGATCCTAATGGGCCTAGTGTGAATATGCACGATCAGGCCGAGTCCTTTTTTGTTTAATAGATTCCGGAAAGACTTTTGTCGGCGACACTCTCTCTCTATTATGGCTCGGAGACTTTAGAGGACTGAGAGAGAGAGTGAGAATGGGGAGTGTGGAGGAGGGTTCTTCATCACCGAGGCTTCCACTTGTGTCGATTGCAAGAGTATGTGGTGTGATAGTTGCAGGTCTTGTCCTCTCGTGGGCATTTTCTTTCAAGTCCAGCTTCCTCCCTCGCTCCTCCTCCCATGGAGACCTCCTCTACTCTGTAATCATCCTCCCTCTCATCTCTAATCTTGAAATTCTGATCCTTTTTAAAAAAAAACAAAAAAAATCTGGGTTTGTTTGTACAGGTTCTTCATCCTCTGCTGATGGTGATCGGCTTCATCCTCGTTAGTGGAGAAGGTAAGCAAATTCTACTCACTTCCCTCTCATGCAGCTTACTTATGAACCCGAGAAGAAGTTGTGGGTTTGGGTTTTTGGCAGCGATTCTGGTACACAGATGGTTGCCCGGCTCGAGGAAGAGGAAGAAAGCAGTGCATCTGTGGCTGCAAGGACTCGCATTGGCTTCTGGTCTGTTTGGGATTTGGACAAAGTTCCATGGCCAATTTGGCTTCTTCTCCAATTTCTACATATGAATTAGATAATTCGGCTCAACTTTACAAAATATCCAAACTATCTATTATTTATGCGTATATATCCCCCTCTCTCTCTATTTTCATTTGTTAAGGGAAGAGATTAGGATCATAATGCATACATACATCTCTATGGTTTATACATATACATATACATGATAATTATCAACGCAAAGCCATGAAAATCATCACGGTCTTCTTGCTTGATAGAGTGGAGGAGCGCATTGAATAACGACAAGAAATAATTTAAAATGACGTATATTATTGTTATGACCACTTGAGGTCTTTTCCTTGTTGTTTAACAATCGGACACGAAGATTCCCCTCCTCCTCCAAAGCTAAATAATGAATTATTGAACACAAGGCGCATTTATTGATCTTGACACGCCTTTTACTCATAACCCCACCATATATTATATAAATCTTTTATTGAAACTGACATTAATGCTGTATTTTATAATATGGGTGTCAGGTTAGACCATCGCTAATCGTATAAATTATTGCCAAATTATCGTTTTGAAAACCCAGGGTCTTGTACGGTCCTCTTAAAAGAAAAGGGGTTTGAATGTAATTTTACAAGTTTTATTAAAAAAAGCGGATAAAACCCCTAAAAAACCCTCACTTGCAAAAAATATATACAAATAAACCTTTAACTTGAAAAACTGTCATTCAATCCCCGAATTTGTAACTTGTCACCGAATAAAACCTAGAACTTGCAAATTATTGCTCTAATAAACTTTTGACCGGTTTGACCACAATTTCAAGCGATCGGAAATCCACGTATTGACGGATTGCTGATTTCATTTTTTAAATTAAAATTGATAACATGTATAAGGTGACACCAGCAATCCGTTAATACGTGGATTTCTGATCGCCTGAAATTGTGGTCAAACCGGTCAAAGGTTTATTAGAACAATAATTTGCAAGTTCGATGTTTTATTCAGTGACAAGTTACAAGTTCGGGGATTGAACGATAGTTTTTCAAGTTGAAGGTTTATTTGTATATATTTTTGCAAATTAGAGATTTTTTTTGGGATTTTACGATTATTCCGAGCGGGTTCAATGGACAATGGGGATGGAATAGCTGTTGGATGGTTAGGACACCCCATCTTTAGAGATAAAGAAGGGCGTGAACTTTTTGTACGACGTATGCCTACTTTTTTTGAAACATTTCCGGTTGTTTTGGTAGACAGAGACGGAATTGTTAGAGCCGACGTCCCGTTTAGAAGGGCAGAAGACATGTGAAAAAAATGAATTGAAAAAAAAAACGTTTAGAAGGGCAGAAGACATGTGAAAAAAAATGAATTGAAAAAAAAAGAAGGGGTAGTAAAAAAAAGACGTGGTATTTAGTTCATTTGTCCTATATGTGCAAATAAAAATCGGGCAGATCTTTCCTTCTACTCGGAAAAGTGGATATCTTTTTATTTGGGAGCTCTGAATTATGAGTAAGTGCTAGAATGCCACGGTACTCTTGATTTGCGTGCGTTAAACCCTAAAACTAAAGTGGCTATCTTGGGTTTTGATCCGGATTGTTTTTTTTTATATTGAGTTCGGTTTGAAAATCGGTTCGGTTTAAATTTTAATGGAAAAATATTCATTTTTCAAAGAAATTTTCAATTCTTTAATTATTTTTTATTTAGATTGAATGATTGAATTCGGTTTCTTAGCTGAAAAAATTATAACCGTTGGATTGTTACATCAAATTCTGTTGATTATAGTTATATGTTGTTTTTTCGATTCCAGTTGGTTCAATTCAATTGTTTGGTTATTAATTAAACTGTTCGGTTATAAAACCATTGTCCGTACCAGCAGTGGATGATGGGATTCTTGAGTTTCTGGCACAGAGGAGAAGTACGGACGACAAGAACCAGAGTTCTGCCATGGCATGTGTTTCTCGGCCTCTATACGTACGGACTGGCCGTTGCCACGGCCGAGACAGGGCTACTGGAGAAGCTAACGTTCTTACAGACCAACAGGAACATCCGAAAACGTTGTCCCGAATCAATGATTGTCAACGGTCTTGGTCTCGGCTTGGCTCTGCTCAGCGGCATCGTTATCACGGCCTCTGTCTTGCCAAAGTATCAGAGCCCTCGTGTTCACGGCAACGAGAAACTCGCCTACTCTTCCGAAGATCGTCCGAAATGCTTAGCTTCTTGATCTCATTTCACTTTGGTTTTTATTTCTTTTGGGGGATAAAATACAATCTCTTATGTATAAAAAGATGAATAATTTCTTGAAAATGTGGTTTTTGTTTCCTTACCGCATTGTGATGATGAGACTTCTGTCCATGAACTTGGCTCCTCCTACCTTCCCTTGAATCTGAGATGGCAGATGGATCACTCGCCTCTGGTCTCCTGCTTCCACCAATAACTCGGATCCCCCACTGTACTGCAGTTTCATCAAAGAATCCGAGAATTTAACCTCAGTTCCTACTTTCAAACCGTATGTATACACATGAATATACGTATTCCAGTTGCTTGTTTCAGACAAGAACTATCATAAGACAAGGGCAGGAGCAAAGAGAAGATTTACCTGGTAGAGCTTGATCTCTGATTTGTCAAACCCAGGCATGAAAAGGGTCACTTGTTTCTTTGATGTATCAAACATCACTGACGTCATCAGGCTGCTTCCATGGCTTAAGGTTTTCGAAAGGAGATCCCGAGCAGCGGAGTTAGCCCGGTTTAGGAGAACTTTGTTCCAGTCCAGACCAGTGCTCGGATGTGGAACCGACGCTGAAGCAAATGGCAGCGGCAAAAACTCCTCTTTCACTGTAATCTCCGACCCATCATCGAGATGAGGAGAAGGAAGAGCGAAAGCCCCAGAAACATGAGCACCAGCTTGTATTGTACAGCCCCAATATCTTAATGCAGATGTCACAGACATGGGATTGTTAGGGTTCATCACGAGAAAGCACCCGACTTTGGATGATTCTCTTACTGCAGAAGCTCCTCTCTGCACATTTTCACAAACCCGAAAGGTAAGAACAGAAGCAAGACGACATTAGAGAATCGATCCAAGTAAATGGAAAAAAAACATACCTCCAAGAAACGATCCAAAGTATCCCATATCTCCGAACTTTTCATACCATTGAGAGAAGACCTGTTACCGGTTATGTTCACAGCCTCGTCGACAAGTCTCATAATAGAAGGGCCTGCCAGTCTTCCGAGGTCAGTCTTCTCAGCCAAACTCCTCAAATATTTCAAGTATAGCCTGACATCACATTCCAGAGCAAAGCACATCAAAAAAAGAAGCAAACTTGTTGAAGTATATCAGGAGAAGAAAGGCGGAAAAAGATTGTGAAAAAACCTTGCTTTACTGCTAACACCTATCATCCGGAGATTGTCCTCACTGCTAATACCGTCGTATATTACCACATCAAAGCCTTGCCCTTTGCAGTTCTTTCGGGTTGCTTGCCTTATGAACCCGACAAATCTCTCGAGCTCCAACATTGGTAAGATGGAATCCATCCCAGGAAGCACTCCTAGCTCTTCTCCTACCACCTACTACACCCAAATGAAATTGAGCAGCCGGAAACCAGATCTCACCACAACATGAAAAAGCCCGAGTTTTGTCACATACCCACCCCTTCAAGAACCCCTTGGGTCATATTAAGCCGAGAATCTGACGCTTGAGCTGGTTTAGAGGTTCCAGAAGCATCTGCCATTTTTTACCAGACAGTTTTCTTTAGCATATTCAGGCTCAAGACAAAGACCCGAAAGCAAATTCACAACAAGAAAAGGACAGACCTTTGTGGTTTCCAGCCTAACCACAGAAAGATAGTCGTTATATAACGTAGGTGAAGTCCCGATCTTGGTTCCTAGAAGGTAATCAGCAGAAGGGTCTTGATTATGCACCACCAAGCATGTATTAAGCCCAGCCATTGCGTAATGCTACCAGCAGCCAGCCACCGAACGGACGATAAAGACATGTTCCAAACAAACTAGTTAAGCCACACTGTTTCAACCTCTTCACACAACAACACAGATATAATGAATAGACAGGTTTCAGAGTTATACAAATATCTGAACGCAAAAAGATGAAACTTTGTAGAGTTTTCCTACTTCAATGAGATTAGTTCACTACGGGTATGAATGAAACGATATCTCAAAAGGCATGTAAATTAGCAGAATCAACTACAATGTTCTACATCAAAATCAGAGAGAAACATTAATCTCAGTCAGAACCCAGAAGTCAAACTAATCAAACGCATATCACACCATCAATGGCCAGATTTCAGACGCCGTCAAAAGTAGAATTTTAATGGAAAGTGGAGATTTTTTTACATCTAAAGACGGCTACTTCTGGGGAAAGTTCTATGTAGCTACGATTGGATTTCAGAATCTGATACTGTGAATCGAAAACTGACATCAAAATTCGTTGAAGCAAAGTAAAAATATGGAATTTCCGGCTCCAAAGTCGAAATGTAAGTTTCCATAAACCCGAGAAATCAAAATGCCGTACACCGAACACAATCACTTCCAGGGTTTGGAACGAATCTCAGAACCAGAACAAGGAATTTACAAGAACAAAACAACAAAAGCTTGGACCCAAAAAGACGATACCTGGGCGGCGAAAATGGCGGCGGTAGTCTTTCCAGAGCCACCTTTTCCGAGAAACGTGACGAACCTCGTCGATTTCTGAGAAGAATCGCCCACGACGTCGTTATCGTCTCTCGGAGAAGCTGCCGCGACCGAAGCCCGACGTTTACAGGCGACTGAAGCTGCTTCTGTCGGCGTGAAAGGAAGGAGATTGGGACATGGCTTCGGACATGGAAGAGAGGAAACGAGCAAAGACGCCATTTTCGCCCCCTTTCCTCTGAAAATTCGAGAGATCAGTTCGGCTTGGTCGGTGCTTTGCCTTGAACGTTTTTTAGTTACGGATCATGGAATTGTGGCCGTGCCAGACGCAGCGGCGTCGGCGTCGGCGTTGGCGTCGGGGGGTTCACGTTTGCGTTTCACCTGATAAAATAACAAAAGAGCCCCACATTTTTCTTGGTTTTCTCAATAAAGCCCCAAATATTTCTAATTTACAATGGATGGAGGAAACGGTTTGATTCAATTTATTTAGTTATTTTGGATTTTGAAAATTTATAACCAAACATATATTTGTTTTCAATCGGTTCTATTTGGTTTAGATCACTTGTGTCTAATTAAAATTGTAACAAAATAATAGTCCGATATATATTGGTTATAATAATAAATATACTCACTTCTGTAACATTATTGTAGAAAATGTAAAAGATCTCTTTATTTATATACTATAATTACAAAACTATATAAACATATACTAGTTTGATTGTATATTAATTGATGATATATATGTAGACGAACGGTTAAATCCGATTAATTCGGATTCGAATATTTCGAATTTCTAAAATTTATAATCTAATAATTATTTAAATTTAATCGATTTTTAAATAAATGAACCGTGACTGTAGACACCCGAATCTTGTATATAATACAATAAAATGATGTTTTTATATAGTTCCCGTGAATGATTTTACGAGGTGTACACACATGTATATACGCACCTAAGTGCTGCACGGATTCGTATAATGGTCCGTCGTATAGATAATACACTTCAATCATGATAATAAGTACATCGCTAATTTTGAGTTTTGTAATAATACGTGCATCAACTTCTGCACTAATCAATGTATATATTCTATTTATTATTAAATTAAAAAAAAAAAATCATTTTTGGAAAATATGATGCATCTAGAAAATCTATGAGACTGAGTGAGACGTGCCGTCGCAGCTACTGGTTGGTTTATCCGAAAGTCAAAGCAATTATACATACATTAATCATTACCATCAACGATCCCATAAATAATAAATTTAAATTTTCATCCCAAAAAAATTAATTTCATGAATTTATTTATTATCCATCTATTATAGTATCAAAACAACAGAAAGAAAAAAGAAAATGAATGAAAATTCATTTAGTAAATGAATACATATTTACGAATACTCGTCGAATATTTTGGAAAATAATCAAAATAACAAATTTATAGTTAATCTTCTCCAATTCTTTTTTCCACTAACTGATCTAATTATAATTAAAAAAAGGTATTAAGTAGATGATCTAGTCTCTGTCTTAAAATAGAGTAAATCATGCACAAAGAAAAGCATACAAACGTTCTCAATGGTGCAACGGGTTCGGTCCGGTCGGAACACGGCGTTTGTCAACTCCGTAACGAGGATCGATCTCGCCGCCGTCGTCTTCCTCCGCCTCTCCTCCGCTGCCGCGTGGTTTGACGGAGCTGCCGTTGCGTGGACGTCCACCGCGACGGCGTTGGAACGGCGTGAAGTCGAAGTTGTGGGAGAGGACTTTCCGGTGGTTGACGGAGGAGCTAGCGGAAGGGTAACGCCGGCGGTGGTGCAGTGACGGAGCCGCCGTGGATACGCGACGGAGGAGGAAGAAGAGAGAGAGACAAAGGACGATGAAGAGAATGTGGGAAAATTTCAAGGCCATTGAGGAGGAGAAGAACGAGAAGAAGATGAAGCATATGGTGCAATATTCAATAACAATAATCAAAATAAAATATATAAAATAAAAAGAGAGATCGCTTTGTGCGTTAGATGCGGAAAAAATATTTATTTTATGGTGTTTTGGAGGCCATTTTGGTAGGGTGACTCGTATATTATATAGTTGACGAAATATAAAGTTGAAAATACTGTGTATACAAAGGAGTACATACATACATATATATATGTGTATGTGTATACACTGTATTTTTCAATTGAGAAGACTATCTTATCTTATGCTCTATGTTTCTTAGAAGTAATATTTAAATTTAATTTTGGTCAAGATTAGGGCATCAAACATTGGAAAATAATACTTCCTTCTATGATTGCTTACTTTACTTTCTATATTTGACAAAATTATTATATTGGAATAACAATCTATAAATACACAAGCATTTCCTTCATTTTAGATGTTTTGTTTATTTTAATAAATTAAATATAAGGTCGACTATGACCAATCTAAATCTCTAATCCTATCATATGTAATCGAAGTTAATATAGTTTGGATCATAGAATGTTGGGACTACATAAGCATGAATTCCATAATTTATGATTTTCAAACTCTTTTTCAAATGTCATAAAAAAACATAACTTTATATTTTAAGCCTACTTACATATATATATATCAAATTCGTAATACGTACCTACTTACATATCTTTCCAAATATATCAACTCCTAATACACAATCTCTGGCTAGAAAAATAATTTTTACATATATAAGAAACAAAATTTATAGATCGTGGGACAAAATCTTGAATATATATATGTATATGTATACATATATATAATGAAAGGAAGGTTGAATAAAATAGTTATATATAGAATATAAAACTGAAATTATGAGAGATAATTATACGAAAAGAATAGGGACTTGTAAGATAATGATTCAATATCATACGTAGATTATAAAAAAAGCAGTCCAATTATCAATAAATATATCGATGTTCCGAGCAAAACTCATAATGTTTCCGAGCATTTTTGGACAGTAAGACAAATTAAAACCAATGAATAAGGTATTTCTTTCTTAGAATTCAAGGAACGGGAAAATGAGGCATGATTATACAAATCTTTGTAATTATGATATATTATACATATATATATATATATATATATAATATATGAACAGGAAACATACACTATCATTTACCTTCCACTTCTTTTCAACAAAAATAATAATAATACATATCACCATCTTATAGAAAATAGATGCTGCATGGAACATTTTCAACGAAATATTTTACCAAAAAAAAAAACATTTTCAACGAAACATGGTCCATACATAAAGTTACAATGTTTTATTTATCTAATATTGTATATTTTTTCCTTCTACATAAAACGGTTGACTATAATCTTCCAAGTTTTTATATTCCATTGGTATATTTATTTTTCGTTTAAATGTAATTGGTATACGTGCAATATGGTCTAAACAAATCCATGGTGGAAAACTAAATTTGCATCCATTTTTGTTAAAATAGATATTAACCCCTGCTAGAAAAATAAAAATAAAATTGCCTTGGAAAAAACTTTTTTTTTATTCGTTTTCCATAAAACAAAAATTCCCATGACCAAGGAGATTCTCTACAAATAATATATTTTTCAGTAAACTATTTTTGCAAACTTTTCTAAAATTAAATATATGCATATATATATATATATATATGCATATATATATATATAAGGGTAAAACCCCTAAAAAACCTCCAACTTGCAAAAATATATACAAATAAACCTTCAACTTGAAAAACTATCATTCAATCCCCGAACTTGTAACTTGTCATTGAATAAAACCTCGAACTTGCAAATTATTGATCTAATAAACCTTTGACCGAAAATCTACGTTATTAACGGATTGCTGATGTCACCTTATACACGTTATCAATTTTAATTTAAAAAATGACATCTACAATCCGTCAATACGTGGATTTCTGATCGTTTGAAATTGTGGTCAAATCGGTCAAAAGTTTATTAGAACAATAATTTGCAAGTTCGAGGTTTTATTCAGTGACAAGTTACAAGTTCGGAAATTGAATGACAGTTTTTCAAGTTGAAAATTTATTTGTATATATTTTTGCAAGTTGGAGGTTTTTTAGGGGTTTTACCCTATATATAATATACACACACGTATTGGATATTCGAAAAGTTGTAATTAAAGAATGTCGGTGGATATGGGCGTTTTTAAATCTTGATGTAGTAGAATGTATTTGGTAAAATGAAAGGTAGATAAATTTTAAAAATTTATAATATCCCAAAGTGCTGTAACTTTGATTATGTGTCACTCATAGTGACATTCATCCAAATGGAAAAGTTATAAACAAATCATACATATATACATATACACGCACACACACACATATATATATATATATATATATATATATATAATTTGAGTGGATTTTGAAGGTGGGTGGGGGAATATACTATCTCCACATTTTCACATGTACAAAGCAACCTTTTGAACAGTAAAAATGTTCGGCACTTATAAAGTCCACTTGCTATTAATTCAACGGTTTCAAATAATATGTACGGATGGCAGGGCGATGAATGGGCTCAGATTTCCTTTAATTAAATGGGCTTTATGAGCCTTAATTGGGCCTTTTGTTCAGCCCAACTAATGGGCCTTTTTCATAGATGCATAATGCTACCCACAATGTTTGGATCTTATCCAATCCCAATCTATAATATTCGGACAAGTTATTATGGAAAATTTGCTCACTTGACAGAAATACGAAACCATCTTGCAACAATTTTTTGCATATTCGTTAATTATAAAAAATAATGACCGTTTATTTCCCCGACAAAATTGAGATATATTAACTTTTTTTATATTTTTTGGGTAAAAAAATTAAATAATAAAGATTTAAAGAGACAAAAATGAAAATGGAGCGAACCAGTCATTAGAGTATGTGGTTGACGTATTAGAGTAATTTGTTTAGTGTTAATATAAATGATGTGCACGCACCGAGTTCTAAATTTGTAACCCGATTCGTACCACTATCCGCAAGTATACGGTAGTTGTAGTACCGGGGTCGATCACGAGGACTAGGTTGTGTTAATCCATTCTTAAACTAGATCAAAGGTGATGGGAAATATTGATTGCAAGGTGTTTGTGAAAATGTAAATATGAAATGAGGGTCAACTGAGCAAACGAAACTTGTGTGATGAAAACGATTGGACACGAATGTTGTGGGTTCGGGGTCCCTTTCACGGGTATGGATGTTCAAAATGTGATGGCACTCATGATCATCATTTCTAATTGGGGATTTCAAGGCTCTTTGTATAAGATCTTTCTCTCTCAAGCTTAGATCTACTACCTAGAAAATCAACTACCCATCTCTCAATGATCTAGAAGACTCCTAGATGCATTAACAACCCCTATCATAAACCCTAAACAAGTCAAACCATCTCTCAATGTGAATGCTTTGTTCATTTGATGTCTAGGTCAAAACATCATTCCCATATGTCTATGATCAATGTTGTTCTAAGATCATTCAATCAAGGTTTTGCCAAGATCAAAAGCATGAAGGATGAGATATCAAACCAATAGAAACAACTAAAAGAGTACCATAGATTGAAAACCCAACATCCATACATAAAAGGGGGACCCCTCCCCCACAACTAGGGTTCTACTCCATACTCAAAGGAAGAAAACATGATAGATAAGAGAAAGGAATGCTTAGATTGGTCTTCAATGGTGATGATCACTTCTCTTCTTCTCCAAGTCTCCCAAGCTCCAAGTTTTCCCCCAAGTGAGTTTCTCCCCTTTCAAAATGGCCAAAAGATCCCCTTTTTTCTTTCCCTCTTTCCTCTTTTGTTCAGCAAACCCTAGGACTTTCTTCTTTCTCACTAATGGGCTTGGAAATGACCCAAAACAACAAAGGAATTTCGTCAGACAGAAATGGGCGGTCTCTTTGTGTTTCAGGGCGGGAGCCCGAATATGCTTCACATTTTCGGGCGGTCGGCAGAACTTATGGGCGGCCCTCCTGAATTTTCTGTTAAATCTCGAGGCTTCTATCACTTTAGGGCGGCCAGATCTCTTTCTAGGGCGGTAGCCTGTTTTTGCTCTTGTTCCACATTCCGCGTTTTCGTCTGATTTTTTTCGTTGTTTTCTCCCGGAGACTTCACTCACCACCTGATCCTGAAATGGACAAAACAAGGACCTACTCTACCCCTAGACGACTCATATGCACATGATTCCGATGATAAAGATCCCAATCACTCATAAAATTCTCAAGTAAAGATGATATGATCAAATCCCCCCAGACTTGAACGTTTGTTCGTCCTCGAACGAAACACATGATCGTGAAAATGTCTAAGGCCTGAGAGGTTATGATCAAACTTGAATGGGATCTAAGGTTGGCTTGTCTATCCGGGAAAAAGTCACCGTGAATGGAATCGAGCTTAGCATACTCTAGCCTTCTAGCATTCAAACAAACGGCTACTAATGGAACTTCTATCGCCCCCCGTAGTCTAAGGTAGATTATACGCACCTTGCCGAGCATGTCTCTCAAACACATCCTATGCAATCTCTATGCATGATCTAGCCCATATTTTTGTGATTCTACCTCGCCCTATTCTTCTTTCTTTATTCATTTTGGTTTTTCTTTTCTTTTCTTTTTCTTTCTCTCTCTTTTTTTTTTTTTGAAACATCCCGGACTTCTAGGACGTTGAAGTTGGCGAGTGACATACCTTTTTGGTATATTCGCCCCACAACTTAGACCCGAGCCATCAGTTTCTAATGCACTCATGTCCTCGAATGATTTTCATTAACGAGCTAATGACAGCGGAGTGTCGGGATGCTACTTTATTTATTCGGGATTTTTTGTATGCTATGGGCTTACTAAACTTAGAGATAGAAGAATGGTTCTTGGGGAGACGTTTGCGCTTGGTTCGTAGCTTCTAATCCGCCTAGACCTTAGGAGGTAAATCATCCCACATAACAATCGCTCGTTCTAGGACTAGATTGACTATTTCTGCTTCACACGACAATCCATTCAGCTACTAAGGGGATCCCAAGTCCGGTTTCTCAAACCTTTCAAAACAGCCTCGCTCTACTCCTCCCACATCATCATTTGACCAACCTCTTATGCAAATGAG